GCATTCCTGTGGGCTTTAAGGAACAAGTGGCCTTGGGCCCGGTCTCTTTTCAGGATGATCTCCTGGAATAGAGGCCTGTTTCTGGCTACCTTGGAGGTCTTGTACATGTCGTGAAGTGGCCTCAGGATCTGGCTTATCGTTGACCTAGTACCTCTTTAATGTAAAGAATTCAGACCCAGAGTGATGACCTTAAACCCCAGAAACCATCAGAGGCATAAATGCACCAACAACCCAGCCCCAGGGAGGCCCCTCTGAAACCCAGGGAGGAAGTCGACAAGGTGCAGTGTGTGCACAGGGCCACTGCACAGGGAGGACTGCTCCACCCTGTCTGAACACAGGTTGCTTGTAAGATGGGTGTGAGATACTACCTCCACTTACTTATCTCACAAACACTGTATCGCATGCTGTGCTAAGTGCTTTGTAAGTATTAGTCTATGAGATAGGCTCCATCTTTATCCCACTATGACAGATAAGGGAATGAAAAAACAGAGGATTAAATAACTTATCCAAACCACATAGAAAGCAACAGACTCCGAATTCTAACACTAAGCAGCTTGGCACCTGTCAGATTTTTTTTTTTAATTGTTACTTTATTTAACTTTATTTATTGATTAATGTATTCATTTTTTAATTTGACCAGAGAGGAATAGAGTGAAAAAGAGGGAGAGTTTAGAAAGCAAGCAGCCAGGTTCAGGACTCGAACTGCGGATGCTGGTTGGCCATGTGGGAGTCCAATGCCCCTAACCACTATGCCATCTGCCAGTCCCAGAGCCTGTTAGATTATTTTTAAAAAAATTTTTATTATTTAAATTTATTTATTAACATTCATTCACTGTACATCATTACAGCATACAAAATGAGATTTTCCATCCAGAATATACTATATATTGGCTTAATGAAGCACATCAACATACGTGTTATTGTCAACAAATAATTTTTCATTTCTTGTTTCCTGTATATTTTGCTTTTTTTACCATCCTTGATTCCCTATCTCTTACCCTCTGCCATCTTCCACTCTCCTCCCATATTGTCTCTGGTATCTATGGTTGTGTTCTATGCCTTCCCTCCCCCCACCCATTTTATTGATTCACTAAAGATCTTAATTAATCTAAATATTTTAAATAGCAAGCACAGCTGATAAATACATATCCACGAATGCAAGTCTGACTTCAGGCAGAAACCTCAGTAAGTAGAATGAACATACTATAAATTAGCACCTAACTGGGGCTATATAGCTTACTGCAGTCATCAAATAGGTATTTTTAATGCATTTTTTTGTTTGTTTCAAGAAAAACAGTTTTAGTTTATTTTTTTCCCCGAAACTTTTTTTTTTTTGGAGAGGTTTTTGCTATGGGGTGCGTGTGCTCGCCAGAAAGACAGAGAGAGACAGAAAGCGAGAAATCACCCCCCCAGGGGGGATGGCCACGCCACAATCCCTTCTCCTCCATTCT